TGCATGGGATGTGTGGGTGTGTATTTACATTTGTGGTGTTTACATTTACATTTTGTGTTTGTGTGTGTGTGTGTAAAAGTATATATATGACACACATACACATACACACACACAACATACACATGTACACACATATATATATATATATATTATATATATATATATATATATATATATATATATATATATAACTATATATATATATAATATATATATATATATATATATATATATTATAATATAAATACATACATTACATATATTGCATATAATATATATATATCTATAATATTATATATATATTATGATATTATATATATAATATATATTTATATACATATATATACATATACATTATATATACACTATATATATATATATATATATATTATATATATATATATATTTGTGTCCATAGTTGCAAAGTAATCAATCAGCTTGGAGGCAACGACGGAAATTCTCAAATGAAGAGCTTAAAGTGATATGATCGCCTTCCGTCCCCGTGCAGTTGCGATAATTAAGCTGCGGATGATTCCATTTCAGTTTTTTTCTATCTTTGTGTAAATGAAAATGGGTTATATATTGATATATGAATGTATATTATGCACACACACCACACACACACATAGACACAGACACACACACAGACACAGACACACACAACATACACCACACACAGACACACACACACACACACCACACACACACACAGACACACACAGACACCAACACACACACACACACACACACACACACACCTATAAGATAATAGAACTGTATTATAATTATGTGTGTGTGTGTGTGTGTGTGTGTATACTTATCTATGTATGTATATATATGCATGTGTATACATAAGTCCATGATAGAGAGAGTGCCCTGTACATACAAAATTTACTCAATACTTGCCCAGTATGTACTAACGCGAATTTTCTTTTGCTTTCTTCCCCTTCTCCCTCGTTCGTTCCCCTTCTCCTCGTGTTTCCTCTCCGCGTCTCCCTCTCCACGAGTTTGTGTGACCGCTTTCGGACAAGTTCTTTATTTGCTTATGTTCTTATGTAATTGAGGGCCGACCGGCTGTGGGAGGAAGGGAGGAGAGGGGAGGGGGGAGGGAGAGGAGAGGGAGAGGGGGTGGAGATAGGGAGGAGAGAAGAGGGACTAGAAAATATAAGGGGAGAGATGGTGGGAGAAGATGGTATGTGTTTTTCTATTGAATTGAATTGAATTTTGTTTGTGGTCTACATACCTATAGTTTTTTTATGTCTGTCCTGTTTCTGTCTTCTCTGTCTCTCTCTGTCTTCTCTTCTTCTCTCTCTCTCTCTCTCTCTCTCTCTCTCTCTCTCTCTCTCTCTCTCTCTCTCTCCTCTCTCTCTCTCTCTCTCTCTTCTCGGTCCAATTCTTTCTTCTCTCTTTCTCTCTTTCTCTAACACAAAAACACAACACCACACACACCACACACAACACACACACACACACACACACACACACACACACACACACACACACACACACACACACACACACACACACACACACAGCACACACACACACACACACACACACACAACACACCCGCGCGTCCAAACCAGAGCCCCACAGAACCCAGGTACCGCCAATGCATATGCGCATCTCTGTCTCGATTTCTCCCTGTCCTTTACCTCTTCGCCCCGCGTCCGTGTGGAACTTTTAATAAACTCAACGAGGCACTGATGTCAGGGCCAGCGCTCCCCTCCCCCCCCCCATCCCCCTCACCACCCCTTCTCTTGAATCCCCCCCCCCACCTCGTCCTGTGTCTCTTCTTCACACCCCCGCTTTGTCGTCCCTCCCTCTCTTCCTTATTGCCCTGGCCCTCCTTACCCCTTTTCCTCCTCCCTTCCTTCTCCTCCTTCGCCTCTCTCCTCCTCTCCTCCTCCTCCTCTTCTTCTTTCTTCTCCTCCTCCTCCCTGTTCCTCTCCTCCTTTCTCCTCCTCCTCCTCTTCCTCCTCCTCCTCCTCCTCCCCCACTATACCTACCTCTCATACGCTAATTTTCCTCGTTTCTCTCTATTCTTCCGTATCCACCAAATACACAACATTCTAACACGATGCACCATATACACCCATACACCCCCCCCCCCGTCCGCCCTATTTTCCCATCCCACTTATTAAATAAAGACCCAAAACGAACGGGAAAACGATGATATTTGAAAAGACGACGAGAGCAGCGAGAGAGAGAGAGAGAGAGAGAGAGAGAGAGAGAGAGAGAGAGAGAGAGAGAGAGAGAGGAGAGAGAGAGAGAGAGAGAGAGAGAGAGAGAGAGAGAGAGAGAGCGAGAGAGAGGAGAGGAGAGAGAGCGAGAGAGAGAGAGAGAGAGAGAGAGAGAGGGGGAGAGAGCAACCCTTCATATTCTCAATCCCTTCAAGTGAAAATTAATATTCAACTTATTAAACAGTTTCTCACAACTGGCTCTACATTTTGACCCTATAAAAGCATTGTCTTCATAACAGGCTGTTGGCACTCATAGAATGGGGAGAGAGAGAAGGAGAGAGAGAGACAGGGGAGAGAGAGAAAGCAGAGAGAGAGAAAGGAGAGAGAGGGAGAGGAGAGGGAGAATGGGAGAGAGAGAGAGAGAGAGGGAGAGAGAGAGAGAAGGGGAGAGAGAGAATGGGGAGAGAGAAGGAGAGAGAGAAGGGGAGAGAGGAAGCCAGGAGAGGGGAGCTAAGAGGCACTGGGGAGAGAAAGGAGAGAGAAAGAGAAATAGGGATAAATATGGAATGAGAGATAAGAGTAAGGAGGTTAAGGAAGAGGAGGAGAAGGAGGATGGGTAAGTTTACGAATGGAGTGGGAGGCAACGAGGAATAGAAGCATGTGAAGGTGAGGAAAGGAAAGAAAGAGAGAATTATGGAGTGAGAAATGGAGAAGATGATAGAGAAGAGCAGAAGGGATAAGAAAGAGGAGAAAGGAGAGGTAGAATTTGAATGGAAGAAGACGATAAAGAGAAATAATTTACGAATGAGGGAATGATGAGGAAACGAAGAAAGACAACCAAAAAAAGGAGAAAGAAACTGAATTAAAGAGACGAACCGAAACAAGAGAGATGGAGAAAAGAAAATCACGGGAAAAACAAGAGAAAAAGAGAGAGAAGAACAGCGGGAAATAAATATAGGGGAGAAGAGATAGGAGTGAGGGGGCTTTGATGAGGCGCGGACGGGTTCGGAGCGAAATCCGAAGGTAAGGGAGAGGGAGGAAAGGAGCGGAAAGGGAGGGAGGAGAGGGAGGGAAATGGGGAGGGAGAAAGGGAGAGGGAAAATAGGAAGGAGGAAAGGGAGCGGGAAAATGGGGGGAGGGAGGGGAGAGGGGAAAGGGAGGGAGGAGGAGAGAGAGGAAAGGGAGAGAGAACAGGGAGGGAGGGGGGAGGGAGGAAAATGGGAAGGGAGGGGAGAGAGGACAGGAGGAAGGGAGAGAGGAAGAGAGTGAAGAAGAAAGGGAAAAGGGAGGGAGGAGGAGAGAGGAAAGGGAGGAAGGGAGGAGGAAGAGAGTGAAGAAAGGAAAGGGAGGGAGGGAGAGAGAAAAGGGAGGATGAGGGAGAGGGAAAGAGGGGGAGAAGAGGAAGGCGAGTTAGGATAGGGCCGACAAGAGGGAGGGAAAGGGGAAATAAAAAAGAAAACGAGGAAGAAGGAAGAGGGAAGAGGAGAAGAAAGAAAGAAAGGGAGGAAAAGAGAAGGAGAAGAAGAGGAAAAAGAGAAAGAGAAGGAGAAAGGAGAAGGAGAGGGAAAGAGAAGAAGGAGAGGGGAGAGAGAGAGGCAACGTGAAGAGAGAGGGGAGGAAAGGGTGAGGGAGAGGATAACACGCTGGCTGTAGAGCAATGGGGATGAAAGTTCTAGACCAAAGCCGATGTATGAAGGTCGTGGACAAGGGATAAGGAACGGTGTGGTGAGCGGAACAGAGGAACGGTGGAACGAGTCATCTACTATATGTATCTATCTCTATGTATCTATGTATCTATCTATCTATCTATTTATCTTTCTGCTTCTCTCTCTCTGTTCTTCTCTCCGCTTTTCTCTTCTCTCTCCTCTTTCTTTCTTTTCTTTTCTCTCTCTCTCTCGTCTCTCTCTCTCTTCGTCTCTCTCTGGTCTCTCTCTTCTCCTCTCTCCTCTCTCTCTCTCTCTCTCTCTCTCCGTCTCTCTCTCTCTTATGTAATCTCTCCCCTCCACCTTTCCAACCATACCCTCCCTCCAACTTCGAGAAGTAACCTCCGCTCCCTC